ACGACGAGGAGCCGAGGGTTGTTTCAGCGCAGGCCGTTGGGGGCGTGGGTGGCATGCTTAATTGGGCTACATATACTACCTAGTAGTAGTACTGTACGGATAGTAGTAAGCCAAAGGAGAAACGAATGACGATCGGGTCCTGTTGGTGGCTTGGGGGGTTCGGGAGGACGAAAGATTCAGACATGCCGTCGTAGGTACGCACCATCATCATCGTTATCATCCTCGCCATCATCACCATTATCATCATCATCCAGGATGCCTGCCATCCCATCCTTGAACCCAGGGTATCCCAAATCTAGGCCCAAGATCCGGGCAACTTTGGTGTGTGTGTGTGTGTGTGTGTGTGTGTGTGTGTGTGTGTGTGTGTGTGTGTGTGTGTGTGTGTGTGTGTGGTGCGGCGGGCTGGGCGTCGCGTGGCCAGCTCGGCAGGGCTTCTTGACTCGCTCACCGCTTCGGGCACGAGACGTGAGACTTGACGAGCCACAAATAGTGACAGGCGGCGTCGACACCCCCTCGGGCGTGGATTCCGACCAGCATGGTGACGGCCTATTGAACGAGTGGCTCCGGGCGTCGGTACCGTTGCTGGCGGTTCATTGGGTTCTTGTGTTCTTAATGCCGAACAACAGCTCGAGCCGTCACTGGCGCCGTGTCCCGTCAGATGGATGTGACGTGGCTGGTGAGTTGCAGAGTCGCAGCTGCACTGGCAAGATAGTGTTGATGTTGTAGTTGGAGTCGGCATTTTTGTGCCATGCGCGTGCGAGCGTATCCGTATAGGTAATAGTTGCTATTCATCGTCCACCTTCTTAGCGTAGGTACGGAGTAGGTAGGTGGGTAAAGTACCTACCTTGGCGTCCGGTCAGTGGCCGGAATGCTCAAAATACCTGGATAGTTACCATGCACACAGACATGGAAGACCTCAGTACCCAAGTACCTAAGTAGCCAAGTAGCCAAGTGCCTAGGTAGGTACTTTGTCCGGTAGGTACTTTGTCCGGTAGGTATTGATATGATATAGAGCCCAAGCGCCTGCCGCAGGAAGAAAGAGACAAAGAAATCATTGAATGATTCCCTCGTCGTGTTCAACGCCGCGTAAGCAAGCTGCTCAGGTACACGCATTGATTGCCATTGCCTTTTGTGCCTCGAGCTTCGCTTGACTTGCCCCGGGTTGCGTTGCCTCGACTTGCCTTGCCTTAGCTGTCTTGACAAACCTTGCGCTTCACCTGGCTCGACGAAATGTTTCAAGAGGCAGTTATAATTGGATTCTGCACCACTGTGGAGTCAGGGTGTGTCCCCGCTGCCCTCTTTTTCGTTGTTCATTCTCGACATGCTTTGCCCCAAGCGGCTGCGTCTCTGCCTGTCTGCCCATCTGCGTGTCTGTCTGTTCGTCCGTCCGTCTGTCCATCTGGCTGTCCATCTGGTACTCGTATCTGTACTGTGAACCCAAATTAGCATCATCCGTTCCCTCCTATCGTCGGACCGAGCGGCGCCCGCAGCAGAGATGGGTCCCAACTCAACTCAGGGGTGGGTGGTGTTGGTTGCCCGATGTTTGCACGTTGCACACACTCACTGCGTGGTCCGTCCTAGTTCCGTGCTGCACCTTAAATTTCAATGGGATCGGGGGTTGGGGGTCGGACTGAGACGGGGTGTGGGTGCCGCCCCCAGAATCCATTCTGATCCCAGCCAAGGCACCCACCACCCAGCCATGGTTTCTTTTCTGCCGTTCCTCAATGTTTCTTCGTCGTTCTTCCTACAGAGTATCCTTACCTACCGGTAGACTCTATCTGTACCTGACAAAGCAACCCAGCATCTGCAGGATGGCGGGTTCCAGGCCACCCATTCGCCCATCTGTTTCAAACACCATCATCCATCTTCCATCCATTACACCGGCCGGCAGGTGCCTTTTCGCTTTTGCTGTTGGTTCCAGGGCTTCGAGCTTGGACAGACAGGGGCGACCTGCGGTCAGAATTACAGCACAGAGCCACATGGCACCAGCCAACGCATCCAATCCGCCCTCGTCCGTCCCAGCTCGGGCAGCATCGCATCCGTCTGCCGACTGGCGCTCCTGATCATTCTCCCTCTTTCTCTTCTGAGAGGTCGTCGAGGAGACACGACAACGTACCTTGCAACTTGGCGTACACGTACAGGCAGGAAGAAATCTCCGACAAATCTGTCTGCGGTGCCGTGTCTTGGCCGTCCCGAACAACAGGCCCCTGTCTGTCTATCTGCCTGCCTGCCTGCCTGCCTGCCTGCCTGCCTGTATGTATGTACATGGTAGTTTACGTCTCGACGTCATGTCATGATTCGCCTGACGGTGGTGAGCGATGTCCCGTTCCGACGATATTGACCTCTCTCCCCCCAAGTACAGGCAGGCACGAGGCGATGCCCGTCGCAGCTTGGGCCCAGTACCTGCTAACGGTAGGTACACAGACAGGTGCGTGAGGTTGGGTAGGGAGGTACCTAGGTGGGCAGGTACGATGTAGGTAGTTACTAGCGTAGTGTCAACGGAGTATCCGTACTCTACCGGCCTACCTCAGTCCTATTCCCGCCCTGATCCTTTCTCTATTCCTGCCCGTCATCACCTTTCACTCCCCTCCCCTCCCCCAGTCCTGCCCAGTCAAATCAAGCCAAGTCGAAAATTAGAAACACCACAACCCTCTTCCCTCCTCCAATGACTGTCCGAATGTGCCTGCTCGCTCAGGCACCGCAAAAGGGCGCCTCCACACACTCATGCTCACCTTCTCACTCGTTCCCTTGATTCGCCCGCTGGGTGCTCAAACACACCCCTCCTTTGCTTCCAACCCCTCCTCCCTGTCCCCTGTTCCTGACCCTGTTCCTGACCGTGTTCCCTCCTCCCATTCATCACCACCACCACCACCACCACCACCACCACCACCACACCCCTCTCCCCCCTGCCACTCGCTCTCGTGCGTGGTGCACCGGTCTTCGTAGTAGTAGTGTAGGTACAGAGTAGTTTACCATGTATCCGTACCTATCTACCTACCTGCACATCCGAAGCCCCACTCGGATCTGTCTCTCTCTCTCTCCACTGTCTTGAACTCGTTGCGTGCTGTGTGTGCAGCACGTCCGGCTCACGTTCGCTTCTCTCCACTCGCCACGGACCGGCTCCACTCGACTAGATGCCAACCACCATCTTCTTCCACATCTGAACTACTCGCTCTCACCTCACCACCTGCTACTATTCTCGCTTCTTATTCCCTCTCACACCCGCACACCACACCGAGGTACCCGACTTTCTCCATCATGGATCTTGGCTGCACACCCCCCCGGAGTGGCCCCACATCCCCCCTGCGGGATTATTCACGAGCCGTCGCTTCCAAGACCGTGCACGGTTGCACACCTTATCCCTCCCCTACCTATGTTCCCACTTCGATCCTCTCTTCGTCTCTGGTGAGATGAGTGTGTGTGTAGTGTGCCTGTGTATCCATCCGTACATCGTATGGCTGCAAAGGTGGTCCAAGGTGCCACCGCCTGCCAATCTTTGCATCGTTCCCATGTCAGTGCAGCTGCAAGTACTGCACCCATGAAGCCAGCGACAATCCACTGCGATTCCCACATCATGCCGGGACCAAGTTTATACATAACCCACCGCACCTGTCCGCATCCTCCGGTCCTGATCTCCGAGAGCCTCTCTCTCTCTCTCTCTCTCTCCCTCCTTCAGCCTTCAGCCTTCCTATTCCCCCTCCATGAAGGCCGCTCACCGGCCCCCAACGTCAATCTCGGAGTCGTGAAACCTGACCTGACCTGACCTGATCGTGGTCCCGAGGTTCAACGCCGCAACTGTTTGTCCCCCATTTCTTCCATCCCCTTGTTTCCTTCTCTATGTTTGTCGGCCTACCAGGTTCCGTCTTCCAAAGAACCTGGGCTTGGCACGGTTTTGAGGGTGTAAGTCACCGCCAATGGTTCCAAGACGTGCTCGAGTACTGGTCCGCAATCCGAGCACCGCGCTGTCTGATATACAACACCATCCCGGGCTGGCCCACACGATCGATCCATCGCATACGAGGAGTAATACCGGACAATGTCGTCAACCAAAATGCTGTTGGCCGTAGCCTGGCTGGCTGGGCCGACAGTTCCAACCCGGGCTTTTGTATTGCGACAGGTCGGCGACGGCGGCCCCGATGCTGGACCCCCAGATGGTGACAGGCAAGGCAAGGGCAAAGGCAAAGGCAAAGGAAAAGGCAAGGATGGTCCTGAGCGAACCCCAGCGACGAATTCCGCCATCGATGCTCGGCCTGGTCTTAGAGACCCATCTCGTACCTGTCATCGTCCCTGAGAGAGTGCATGGCGGCAGAAGTGTCGTCGAGCATCTCGATGATACTCAGCACCGCGGGACGAGAACGGTGTCGACCGGCATAGCCCTTATCACGAAGCACACACCCGTCCGTCTTCTCAGCCCATGAGCCTCCTCTTGCGACTAGGACCTTCCTGCGAGCAAAGCCCTCAAATCCGTTGTCTTGCTTGACACTCGCGGCCATCTCATTTTCATTTTGCTCTTTTATGACTTGTGCACTGGGACTCAAAGCTAACCCAACTACACAGGTGCCCCAAGGCAGGAACAGCCACCTGATCCAGAGAGCCCAATCCTGGCTCCCGCCGCTCCAGACCCTCCGCCTGCCCCGCCGCCGCCATCGCCGGAATCACCTTCACTGCCTTCGTCTTCGCAGACCACAGTACTTGCACCATCTGCAACTTCTTCGGCCCAAGTTGGCCAGCCGACAACCACTTTGCTCTTTGTTCCCGCTTTTACACCTTCTTTTCCGACCCCGGGACCGGCTCCCTCGTTGCCTCCCATCTTTACACAAACGCCCTGGTTTTTCCAGCCATTTCCCAGGCCGAGCTCTTCGTCTAGCCTTCCCCAGTCGAGCTCTTTGGTTCCCGATATCATTGTAACCCAGGTGCCACCAGCTTCCCAGTCGACCGATGCCGGCGGCAGACCCCCGACACTCTCAGTGCCAACTTCTCTGCCAAGACCGGACGGCACTATGGGCGACAACAACAACAACAACAGCACTTCCCACGGCACCGGTGGCAACCGAAGTCTCGTCATCGCTCTGAGCACTGTGCTCTCTCTGCTCGGGGTTGTCATGATCATCGGGGCAATTTACCTCTGTTATCGGTATCGCCGCGGCCGCCTTCCGTTCAGCCGCCGGGGTAACACTCCCATCGACGACGAGGAAATTGAGTCCTGGAAGGCTTGCCGGACGATCGAGAAGTGTACCACCATCGTTGTCGACGAGCAAGATCAGCATGGCTCGGCTGGATCCGTCCAGAAGCCGTCCAGCACGATCGTCTACCAGGACAACAGCCAGCCCCATCCTCGCATGTCGACTGAAACGACTCAACGCTCCCTCTATCACAAGCGGAGCATGGACAAGAAGAGCATTGATATTCCTCAGCCTTCTGTCCTGGCAAGAGCACCCAACGCCCGTGTTGGTCTCACCGATGACGCCATCGAAGGTGACCGTGCCTTCATCCCATCTCCAAAGCGCAGAAACTCGAGGTTATCCAAGCTTCCACCGTTGTCCCCCCGCCATGGTAGGCATCGCAGCTCCCGCAGTAGCGTCAGCATTGGTAGTCTACGGGATCACTGGTACGGTTACCACGTTGATATGGAGCTTTCACCGCGTGCATCCGCCGATCCTTATACCCGCATGCCTTCTTCCGCACACTCGGATGGCAGGCACCGACGTGTTTACTCCTCTTCTGCGAATCCTCCCAGGTTATCACTAGGCGAGGAACCCCAATTGGGCGGCCTTTCTCCGCGCCCGTTATTTCGGCAAGCAGAAATTGGCCTCGCCGTAGGTTGAAGCCCCGAGGGAAAAGGGGGGAAAAACCCCCCCCCCCCCACCCTCCAATATCGAGATTGAGGTCGCACTCTGGTCCGGGAGGGATCGCTGACAACTCATCTTTACACCATTTCTGCATTCATGTTTCGCAACCCCTGCGGATAACAGAATCCGTCATACGCTAAACAAACACACGGGTTTCAGCCCTTGCGCACTTCCCGCTGGCCTGGAGACAGAGTTGTGGGGTGCTGTCTCGTGGGTGCCTGTTTCACATCTCGACGGATGGTAGCTAATTACAACCCCATGTGGCTTAACAACAACATGCCGGAATAGTGGGCGAAGCCAAGCCATATCATTCCCGAACGGAAGCTCGTGGATGCTGGCTTCTTCGCCGCCGCCGCCGTTCGTGTCAAGTACCTCAGCGGTGCGTCCTCTCGGAGGCGCAGAAGACTTTGCGCACACTGTTTATTGCGACTTACCTATCTATCTTGGCGTGAATCTTTAATGTCTGGGACGGAATCTCCCCTTCCCTTACGGTCTTTTGGAATACGGTGTTGGAATACGGATCTTGGAACACCACATTTGAATGGTGAAGGATATACCCACATGATGAGAACGGTCTGCTACAGCTGCCACGCAGCCACTTTTCTTTTACTTCATTTTCTTGAACATTATTGCCGGGCAGTCTTAGTAAGGCCCGCATCGAAGCCGAATAAACTTATATATTGGCAATCAGATGGTTATCTTTGTGATGTTGCTGTCGTGATGTAGGCACGAGTGCAGATGCCGTCAACGAGTTGAAAGCAATAACTACCGGTACCCATGGCCGTGGCAATGGCATTTCACACCTAGCCAGTAAGCTCGTCAGGACGCATGCGATCGGCATGTATCCAGGATGCTGACAGATTCGCCCCCCTGTAAGCTCGCTGGGTGAAACTTGAGGGAAATAGCATCCATGGTCGTGGAGAGTTGGGGTTGGTTGATTGCTGACTTCGCCGACAATCGGGAGGGGCAACCCCCACCACCCCCAAGGTTTTTCCGATGACACTGGTTGGGGGGGGGGGAAGGCCAGGACGCGACACCTGCCATCCCAGGCTGACGGATACGATGACGGGAGAGAAAGCTGAAACGCCGATGAGCCCCTACCCGGCGCTGGGTCGGCGAGTGTTGCCGGGCACGCGGGCAAAGAGGCGCGATGAAGAAGGAGTTTCTTCTTCTGCTTGGACTTTTTAGGCGCGCGAGGGGGGGATGGGATTGTTTCTTTTATTGGTTTCCCCTTCCTCTATTTTCTTCTTTTCTTTTCATCATCTTCTTCATTTCTTGAGTACGGGACGATGATCGTCGACGCCACCTTGCCCATCATTGTTTGTTTACATTTGATGTACCGATATGCCTACGGGGGTTAGATGTGCTAAGGTGTGTTGGAAGAGGAGGGGGTGTGCTTGATCTGTTCCGTGATTGGAACCCCGGTCCGATGCCCGGAACGACGGTCGACTTGGCAGAGTAGTACAAGTGGTTCATTGGAGCCCGTTCCAGGATGGAAGGCTAAACGTAAACGGTACGGCTTGCTCTGGTGTGGAAAAGTTGAGCAGGTCCGAGCCTTGGCTAGACTGAAAGGATGAACGAGGATTACCAGGGGATCTCCCCGTGTGCATACCAAGGACATGTTGGACCTCTCTGAGAAGTTGCTATTGCTTGAACGTATGAGTGAAATGAGCGGGCTGCGGACCCACTCGCACGACAGAGAAAGCTTGAGACAGTGAGTGAGATGAAGGAGAATTTGAAATGCAGATGTTGGGGAATATGAGGATTGAGTCTAGACTCTCCTGAAGCTGTGGAGACCCGACTGAGAGAGAGAGATAGTGCGTATACGAGTCAGAGTATCAGGAAGACTGTGACGGTAGGACTGAAGCGAACGAGATTAGACATGGGAGATGTAACGAGGGACCAAGAGCTCGCTCATGCTTGTAAGCTCGTATCAGAGTAAAAGTAAAAAAGGAGGAAGGAAGGACGCAGCTTAATTAAGTGTTTCGACACCAATACAACATTGTTTACCTAGGTATCCGTAGTGAACAACAACTTGTGTACGTACCCAGATACGTACCGTCCGGAAAGAGGGACGCACTTAACGCGTTGGTGTTTGGAAGTGGATGCATGCCAGAATCGCGACGTGAACGCGCTAGCCGACGACTGACTGACTCCCCGAGCCGCCACGTCCCCCAACTGAGCATCGCCTTATCCACGGTGAATACCTACCTAGCCACAATGCCCATCAACAACAACGGAGAGACGCCCATACTGAGCCTACGACGGTGATCTACCTAGTGAACTCTGATAACCCGCCTTTGGAGCCAAAGAATAATACCAGGCCGTACGGAAAGGAAGCACACACCACCACATCCCCTCCCTCTTCGCTCATCTCCCCTGAGTGAGCGTGAAAAACTTGGACGCCTCGTCAAATCGCCGACGAACAACAGCTCCCGAGGCGAAAGCTCGCAAGCATCCACCCAACCCACCCACTCGCCAACACATCCGATCCCACCAGGCCCCGCCCGCGTGGAACCCAGAGAGAACCAACTCCCCAAGGGGGTTTGGACCTCCAGTTTCCACCCCACATTAATTCCTGCTTTTGGTGCTTGCTCGTTGGCTCAAAGCCCTCCACCCCTCCCCTCCTTCCCCTAAACCTCCGACGACACGACAAGAATGCCTCCGCGCAAAAGCGACGCGAGCCGCAGGAGCGACGTATCCAACGCACGCTTCATCGTCATGGACGAAGACCCGGCCGCCGCCGCCGCCGCCGCCACGCCGGCCTCCGCGACCAAAACCGGCGCCCACGTAGCGGCCGGCACTCCGTCGTCGGCCGCAAAGGTAAAGACAAAGGCAAAGGCATCGGCATCTGCGTCCGCCTCTGCCACGCCATCCAGCGTGCCTCTCGCCGCCTCCGCCGTCACGCCCGGTGCAGCCGGTGCCGCGATGCGGCCGGCATCATCGACGACGCCGCTGACCACCACGACGACGGTGCCGCACGCGGGCTCGGAGAAGAAGGAGAGCCAGACTCACGACAAGATGGCCAAGGCCGATAGGGATGCTCTCACCATCGAGGTTCGTCATGACGTGCCATATCCTTTTGCCTGATGGGGTGTGGGCCGTGACTGACTTGGGTTTGTAGGACCTCAACTTGCCCAAGTCCATTATCACCAGGCTAGCAAAGGGCGTGCTCCCGCCCAATACGCAGATCCAGGGGAATGCTGTCCTGGCCATGAGCAAGAGCGCGACTGTCTTTATCAACTATCTCGCCGCGCAGTACGTTCCGTCCCTCCCATCCTTGTGGTATCTCTCGTGAGATGTCTTGTCCGAGAGATACCCCCCCCCCCCCCCCCCCAGCCTCCACATCTCAATGTTGGGAGAGAGGAACTGATGGAGCTGACCGGCTTTCCGCTTGCAGTGCCAATGAAATCACTGTCAACGCCAATAAGAAAACCGTCAGTGCCGAAGATGTCTTCAAGGCCCTTGACGACATTGAGTACGGTTTCCTGCGTGAGCCCTTGGAGCAGGAATTTGCCAGTGCGTTTGCCTGTTCCCCTTTGTACACACGGTCTTTGCATCTACACTCACCCACTCCCATTGTACATCCGTCTCACCGATGACTCTCCGAGGCCAATTACGCAGTATAACGTTACTCATCTGATGTGTAGAATACAACCAAATCCAGTCGGCGAAACGCAACAGCTACCGTCAAAAGGTAGCCGCCAAGAAGGGCGGAAGCGCGGCGGCGGGCGCGGCAGTCGGGGTGACGGCCGCGGCCACGGCAGCAGATGCATCCCTCCTCTCAAATGCCGACGATAGCGTCATGACGACAGCATCTTCCGACACAGCTCCACGGGCCAAGAAGGCCCGTGTAGATGATTCAGCCATGACCGCCGACGAGGATGTTGAAGACGCCGAGACAGAGCCTGAGGAGGAAGCCGAAGAGGATCAGGAGGATGACGAAGAGGAGGCTGACGAAGACGACGACGACGACAACGACGAGGAGGAGGAGGAGGAGGAAGGGGAGGGCAGCGGCGACGAGACACAAGACGCGCTGGAGGAGAAGGGCGAGGGCAGCGATGTTGATGAGGCACTTGATGGAGATGAGAGCGACTAAATGGGTCACCTCGCTGATTCATGCTATCCCAGCTCTGGGCTGGACGGCCTGCGCTGAGAAACGCGCTTGGACGAACCTCTGGTTGCAAATGAACGAAGTTTCGGGCTCATCGCCGAGAATACGAGGTTCCGAACATGAGGTACGTGTCTAGGCTGCTCGGGGAGGAGGAGGAGGAGGAGGAGGAGGAGGAGTATGGCAAGAGGCTCCCCGTTTGGGTAACGGTAGGAAAGCAAGAAAGAAAAAAAAAACCAAAGAAAGAAATCGGACTGTTTTCTTATTTATCAGGTAATATACACTTCTTCTCTTATGAAATGCATATTTGGGGAAGAATCACTGACCCTAACCGGTGCTTGGAGGCTTATTGCTCCGACCCGTCCGCATCGATGCTACCCGAGAGACACAATGAAGCGAGCGGACGCTCCCTCCCCTTCCCTCTGCTAGGAAAACTTCTCCCCGAAACTGGCACCAGCTAGAAACCAATTAGGGCAACGGACTCGGCGGGGACAAACAGCACGCACGCTCCGGAGATGACAGGAGTAACAGAGCCGCACAAACACACATGCGGACAGGCATCGCAATTAGGCCCCCACCGGCCATCATGTAGACCGGGTAGTAGAGAGGAAAGGGGGGGTAGCATTGGTAGTATTGGTGGTCGTCGTGGTGGTTAGGGTGACGACTGGGGGCGGCTTGAGAGAAGCCCAGCAGCCAGACCAGCAGTTCATGGGCAAAGCTGGAGCTGGCAAATGGGATCGTGCCTTGCGTTCTCCGGTTCGGCCGGCAATGTCGCTGTCTCGCTTCCTTGCCTTTCTATCGGCTGCAAAGTCCCGATCTCTCTCTCTCTCTCTCTCTCTCTCTCTGCTTGCTGTGCACACTGCGTGCCCTGCGAACTCCCTCCCTTTTTGGGATTAGGTTTCGTGCATTGCAGTGAACATACCTATTCAAGAAACGGGGCAACAATCAACACGAGAAAGAGGCTGTTTGTGAAGTGTGTGTGAGAGTATGTGGGAAAGCCGGGACTGCATTAGTAAGTATATCTAATTTTTAACCATAAATCCATCCTCCTGACGACTGCAGTAGGTTCACCACCAACGCCACCACCACCAACTTGTGCCACCGTAACCACCACTGCACAGGAATCACGGCCCATGTCCTCCCTCTCTCTTGTCTTGTTGCAAGGCAATTTCAGACGACAGTAAATGGTCGGGGACGCAGGAACCGAAGGCCTGAGCCCCCCTTCCCCCTTCCTCCTCCCCCCCGCGCCTCTGCCACGCGACCAGCGCACACACAGACATACGCCGCATAAACACAACAGACAGCCTGCGTCTTTCCGAGCAAGGCAAAACCAGTGCGCCGAATGCATCTCGAAATGTGCCGTCAACCTCCATGATCATCACCCTCTCGCTCTCCGCAGAACGGCGAACCTCGGGGACCCAAGTAGACAAACACCTCCGTACGTCGAGGCCGGTAGCATTTTATGCCGAGGGGTCTCGCCAAAACAAGCTTCGCAACAGCAGGTCTGACCCAACCTCGGGGTTCCTCGTATCCTTCGCCTTACCTCCCACCTCACCCCGTCCCTGGCCAGGCCTCCTCGGCCGAGTCGTCAAAGCACGTGAGACCAAACCTCTGCAAGAAGAAAGACCCAGTTACGTGCTGCAACCCTGCCAATTACGAGACAAAGTGAAAAGGGAGACGAAGGGGGGGGAGGGGGGGAGTGAAGCTCGTAAAGCGGCAACAGCCCGGCGGCATGGCTAGGGAGGAGGAGAGGGTGTGTGTGCGTGTGCGTGTGTGTGGTATGGTCCAAACAAGTGAAAAATAAACATCGATGGGGCTGCCACACAGACCCCTTTCTATTCTTTTTGCCCTTGTCTCGAAACATACGGTTTGCGTCCCGATAACGAGGAGCCTGAGTATCTCTTTATTCTTCCTTCGTTGACACACACCCCCCTCTCTCCAAGCGGGAAAACTTTAAGAGAACGACCAGATGGCACATGCATCTTGCGGGGCAGTTTGTTGCTGGTCATCCTCGTCCTACTTTGTATAGTTGTCCCAACCAAGACACAGGACACTTGATGGAAAACGCGTCAGGTTAGAATTCAAAAAAGAAACACATCTGCATTAGACTGAAAACCAAATCTGCAACGGGAGGCCCAGGGGGCCATGTCTCCCAAATGGCCCTTCCCCCTTATCCACACGAAATAGTAATAATAAAAATAACGGTCGTCGCAAAGCAAGTATACAAATAATGATGCAGGGAAGAAACAGATGCCCAACTGAATAACACTAGTAGAGTGTTCGATCGATATGGCCCTCGTACGACCCGAAGAAGCCCTCCCCCCGTGCCCTTGACGTGGAAGAAACGAAACAAATCCCACCCCATGTCGGACGATGGCGCTTCCCTCCCAGGTCCCTGATAGCCAAAACGCAACGGCAAACAGCATGTCCCACCACCCTAGCAAAGAGACAACTCCTTCGATGCTGCCGTATTGGCCAACACAAAAATAAGGCCAAAATCATTCGACCGCCAATGAGCAGGGACAGCGGGCCCCTCGTCCATATCGACGTTGAAATCCCAATGCCATCTTGTCGTGTTCGAAAAGGATGAGTCCTCGATTATTGTAATTTGTCGCCCTCCCTTGTAGTCCTCGTTTTTTCGTCCTCGTCTCCAAATCGGGGACGCGCTCGGCCGTACGGCACGGACCCGATCGATACCGCGACACCAATGCCATTGTCGCGGGTGCTTGGAATGGTCCTCGGCATGAAAGCTTCATAGCCGCGTCATAGATGCTGGAATGTGTTGGCTCTATGCACAACTTTGTAGAAGCACTTTCCGCCGTCGTTGGTCAAACCGTTGCTGGCAGGCGATTGCCGAAGTGCGAAATTGTCAGCGTAGTGCCTGCAGACCGTTGTCGGATAAAGCGAGTTCCAACGTGTGGCGGGAAAAGACGCGTGAATTGAGTGTTCCTGAAGTCGTATTCGGGGGACGAGGACTAAACTAATATGGTGTGCGCGAAGCGAGTCGGCGACAAGAAGACGGTGTTGGTATCAAATTGGAGTCGAAATTGCCCATGTGTTAACGGCGAGAAAAGGAGAGAAGAGACGAATAACAGATAAAAAAAATAAAAAAAGGGACAAAGAAAAGACAAACATGATCCAGACAGGACGAGAGAATCGAACCAGACGGGCCAATCGAAGTGAGCAATGCATTCTCCCTCGATACCAAAAACCCAAAGAAATCGAATAAGAAGGAAACGAAATACAGTGAAGGGGCCAACCCACCCCCCGTGACCTGAGGCAATGTGTTCACGGATCCCCCCCCCCCCCCCCCCCCCCCCTCCATCGACTCCACTATCCATACTTGTTGGCCAAAATGCTGTACGAAGTGACAGGCCGGCGGCCCAAAAGCACATAGCCTCCACCTTAGTGTATGCTCGGGTATCCTTCAGAAGGGCAGCAACAAGTCTGCCGAACCGGCGAAATCCAGGGAGTCACCGCCGCGTATATAATGAATAGGAAAATGTGTTGACATGACGCTATTGAGAAAAGTTCAAGGTGCAGGGGAGAGACTGGCTCATCGTGTTTCGACCCCTTTCTTCCTTCATTGAGGCTGGTTTGTCCACCACTGCGCAGGCGTCTGTTGGTTGGACCAAGCCTGTGTAACAGCCGGAGATCCTTGGTTCGGCTGAGGCATGTACTGGCGAGGAGTCTGATCCGCGGGGTAAATCCCCTGGCCAGCCCCGTAGCTCTGTCCCATGCCGGGCATCCCCGAAAACTGCATCGCTGGCTGCACGCCACTGTTGGCATGTCGCAGTTGAGGAGCTGGAGGTTGCTGATGAGGCTGCTGGCCTTGCGTCGTGTACCCGGGGTAATTGTGCTGTTGAGGGTTTTGCTGCGTTTGAGGCCACATCTGGCCGGTCCCAGGGTAGTGATAGCCTTGAGCGCCGCCTTGCGGTATGCTGCTGGTACTTCCTGTTGCAGGCAAAGTCGTTGGCTTGTTGTTCTTTTGGGAAGACGGTTGGGCCATACCTCTCATCGGGGCCTGGCTGATCGGGTTCTGCGCATGGATCGATTGAGAGTACGGCGGAGCGGTCATCATCATCTGCTGGGGGCTCTGGTTGGGCACGATGCCGGACTGCGGCATGTTGCTTGTCGATGTATGTGGGGATTGCGTCGCACGTGCAGGGGGGGCGGCTGCGTCACTCGTGGCGACGTTCTGGGCAAGGCTCGCCGACTGCGGCTGCTCGTGTGGCCGTCTCCAGATGCCTTGGAGGTAGTCGCCGCGCATATCTCGTTGTTGGTTCAGTGTCCGATTGTATTCGGCGGCGTGGTGCGCCTGGGTGTGAACCTCGCCAATCTGAGCAGGTCGCGTCTGGTCCTGGTAAGCCGGTCCGGTGATCTCCTGGCGTGGGCCGCCCTTGAGGATCCCGCTGTAGTCGCGAGGGCGGCTGTCACTGAGCTCTGATCCTAGTGTTATCACGGGCATTCTGGTCGTGGTTCCGGTTGGCGCTCCAAGCATACCTGGTTGGACGATTTGGGGTTGAGGGGCGCCGGGGAATTGACTGGGCGTGTTGCTGTATACGATTTCACCGTGAGGGCCACCGAGCAGGACCTGATTTTGGGCCTCGGCAGCGGCCTCTCTGGCCTTGGCAGCTCCGGGGCGCTTCTCGCCGGCGAGGTCGGCCTCTGTGAATCCTTGCTTGCGGGCCTTGGTTTCCCAGTAGTCGTCACGAACTCTCCTGCCGTTGACAATGACACGACTCCCAAACTGGCGGAACATTGATCGTGCTGTGACAATGGCAATCTGTCTCGACCGGTAAGAAAATGGCAGGATTTCCTGGCTGACGAGGTCATCCTTCTCGGGCTGGCTGGCGATGATCTTGTAGAGCGACCTGTTCTTGTTGAAGAGCAAATACGAGTCTCGGTATCCCAGTACCCTCGCGCACTCGGTCGCTAGCATGAACAACTTGTCACCCCGGTTGGGGACCAAGAACGTTCGGCATCGG